CCTTTTGCTATTAGGTTCCACCATCGACTGAGGCGGAGCCATCTACTGCTTTGCTCTTTCGAAGACGTGCAGATTGCCCTGAAGGACGGAGTTGTTACTAGTAGCTTCTTGTTCCTAGTAGCTTCTTGCTCCTAGTAGTACGGCCAGGAGCCCCTAGTAGCTTCTTGTTCCTAGTAGTAAGGCACTTGTTACTAGTAGCGATGCACTTGTTTCTAATAGCTTCTTGTTGCCCCTAGTAGCATTCTTGCTCCTAGTAGCGTGGTCTTAGTGGAACGACACTTGGGCAATCAGCTCAAATGGCCTTCAACCTAGGGATGGCCTCCACCCTAAGAGCGATGGCCTCCAACCCCTACTGGCGATGGCCTCCACCACCCTACTAGCGATGGCCTTCAACCTAGCAACACTTGGATGGTTTAGATCTTTCCTTTGATTTTGCCAGGGACACGCATTTATCATCATTTATTGGCTTCAGTTTCAATGTATATAGGTCTTAATCTATTCCACAGTGCAGCTTTGTGCAGCAACATCACTAAAGGAACCATTTCCGTGTTCCGGACCTAGCAACCTGCGGGCTGTACAAGCAACAATCTGTATGGCATAAAAGGAACACACCGCATACCTATCTTCCTAACAGGTTGCACATCAAAAATTGTCTCCTTGAACAGACATTCATGGGTGTCGCAAGCCTAGCTGTGAAACACCCTCCGCGACATAATGATGCAAGACCAGTGCCCTCACACCCGAAATGTAACTTTTGTTTCTGGCATTCTCGGTCATCGCTCCTAGGGTGGAGGCCATCGTTATTAGAAACAAGAAGCTACTAGTAGCTCCTGGCATCACTACGAGTAGCAAGAAGCTACTAGGTGGAGGCCAATACTACTATTATAGTAACAAGAAGCTACTAGTAACCTTTTCTGCGTTCTCGGCCATCAAGCAGGTTGGAGGCCACGGCACAGCTGAAGATATGTTCCATGAAGCGCGGAGGAGTGGTGCGGAGAGCCTTCACCCTTGCCTCCCTTTGAGCAACCCTTGGAAGTGCCAGACGCAGCAGACACTGAAGGCAACGAAGCAGGCCCGGACCAGCCGAACAGGTTTGTTGCTTCAGCGAAGAGAAGATGGTGTGGTGGAGGTCATTGCACGTAGGACCAAGGACGCTCCTAGGGGCGCTCCTGGCTGCACTACTAGGAACAAGGACGCTACTAGGTTGGAGGCCATCGCTAGTAGGTTGGTTCATGACATCAGTTTGCCATGGTATAGGGCTGTGACGGGGCCATGGTTCCGCTTGTTCAGGACCAGTTTTGTGCATCCGGGACAGTTCAGGAAGGTAGACCAACTCCCACGGCGCACTCATGTCCCCATGTGCTGTTGGTCCTTTTTTAGGGCGAGTACCAGGTCTTTCGTAAGTCATGAAGAAATTGAATGCGCTTGTGATATGAGAAGGCTTTGCAGAGGAAGTATTCTTCCCATTCTACGCCAAACAGAGACTTTAGGTGGTGCGTATGGTCACTCACTGGACACTCAAAGGCTGAAACTTAATTGATTCTGTAGTGCTTTCATTCTAACCTTCTCAGGCTTCAATTTAAAAGACTAGCCCAGCAGCTAGCTGAGCAAAGAGTCGTGGCATTTATTCGATCATATGGCCGAACAATTTTGTTGTTCTCATCAAGGCAGAAAACAACATGTTTGGTAGTAAGGTCCTTAAGGCCAGGAGCCCCTAGTAGCGATGCCCTTTGCTCCTAGTAGCTTCTTGTCACTAGTAGAAAGAACAACCAAACCAAGAGAGTGTTTGGAAGACGACTTCTCGGAAGTACCTCACAATCAATACGAGATCAAAGGCATTGCTCTTCTCCAATCCATGGCTGAGATTATCACTCAATTGCAAGACAAAGACATTTGTGTACTAAGATTTGCCCTTGCAAAGGCTGGCTTGAGAAGACAGCTCTTTTCTGGATGTTTGATTCGTGACATTGAATCAGAAAACAACAGTGGAATCGAAAACCACCAACAGTAGCGAGGGAAAAAGAACTAAAGGTAGCCATGGCCTCCAACCTACTTGAGCGATGGCCTCCATCCAGCTAAGCACGTCCTTGCTCCTAGTAGCGAACCTTGTTCCTAGTAGTATGGCCAGGAGCCCCTAGTAGCGTCCGATCGCTCCTAGTAGCGATGCCCTTTGCTCCTAGTAGCGTCCTTGTTCCTACGCATTTAAAGAAAGCCTCACTTCACGTCGAACCCACAGCTTCCTACCTGCCAATCCTGGCGACTTCAGCTTGCCGCCGGGATGTGTCATTGTCTCGCACATGGTCTCTGTTGCACGAGATGTCAAGAGGCATTTGAAATCAAGAGAATCAAGAGACATGAAGCCTAAATGATCGGTGCAATCGCAGACGTCCAGGCAAAGCAAACTGACAAGTCAGGATGCGAAGCGAAGCAATCGAAAAAACTGTTTACCATTGGTTGTCGCTTTCTCGCTGCGTCCTTTCTCAAGGACCACTTTTTTTGGTGTTTCTTTCTATTCTTATTTTGTGTCTAGGGTCATTGTACGGGTGCGTGGCGTAGCCGTGGTTTCCGTGGGAACTCATTTTTTGTTTTGTTCTTTCTCTCTTCGTTATGTTGTTTGTTTAGACCTTCAGACCTGTCCACTTCTTTTTTGTTTTTTGCGTGCACACATTGTTGTTTCCTTCAATGATCTCGACAGGCGACTGCGGCTGCGAAGCCTTGGAGCTTCCGCAGGCGACGAGAGAACACTGCGAGATAACACCGAGAGATTCAACAAAAACACAAAATTGAAGAACGTAAAAAAAGTAAAAGCACTAAAATAAAAAGTAATAACAACAAATGCATTCTAAAACAAAATGCTGAAGGCCATTTGGAGTCTGAAACTCTGAAGTCTTTTGCTTCAATTTAAAAAATGCATTTGAGCGTCGTTCAAAAACCCACCTCTTCCTTGTTAGTGATCGAATTT